AATTGGATTGAAATTGATCCGGCCGCGCGTGGCACTCTGTTTTTTGTCACTTCACGCGAAATGAGGTGCGCTGATGACTATTAGACTGTGAATTCCGTTTGTTTAAATTAATTGGTTATTTGGAATTTCCGCGGGATGGTTTAGAGTGAATTTACGCTTGATTCGGGATTTCGATTGATTACGGAAGATTTTAACGGTGAAGGTGATTCCTTTTTCGAGGGTTTTTCATTATTTTGATCAGTCTGATTTTTTGGAGGAAGTGGATAACAATGTCGTCGATGAATTAGAGTTGTATGTGATATCGAGAAGGTGGGTCGTGAATGAATGGAGTGACGGTGAAAAGAATTGTTGACGGCAATTGGGAGCGTTATTATTCAATTTTTGTCGCTTTTCCCTGCACGCCTCATCCAATCTTCCAATTACTGAACTTTGTGCTTGTAAAATTAATGTACCAGACAAAGTTAAATCCTATTATCAGGGATTAATGCTTTCCGTTTAATCCGTTTAATGGTTTAAGTGGACTGGATTAACTTAATTAAACTATATCCAAATGACTGACTGCGTGTAACCAATTTCTTTCGAAGCCGACGCAACGGAAACGCGATTCGAGCAGCTGAATCAACGAGTGTACTTACGCCAGCGATTATTTCTCTGCGACGATAACATCGAAAGCGAGGGAATCGACGAAATCAATTGTATCGATCACACCGAAAATCACGGTACACTGCATTCGGTTAAAACCAATGGACATCGGCCAAAAATAAACAACAAAATGATTTTACAGTATGTCATAAAGCTCAAAAATGTCCAAGAAACGCTACTTTCTCCCGCGCGTGCAAATAAAGCGAAAAGAAACAAAAGGGAACGAATCTAGATTATTTACTCGGCATCTGCGAAGTTTCAACTTTAAACCAAACAAAAGGAATCGCGAGAATTCGCCGGAGAGAAAATATTCTTTTAAGATTCACGCAACTACGGAAACTCAGTTCCCCGAAATATCCCTTCGATTTACTCGCGGAACGCGTCACCCGAGATTCCAAAGCGTTTAAAGCTTATCAATAGACAGAATCTTCGTGCAAATCCAAATTTCGAGGAACATAACTGAAAAAATAAAACTACAATGGAAAATGATTTTCCTCAATAAATATTATAATACTTCTATATCTTTTCAGATCATGATTCCTCACACACCGATCCATTTTATAGGTTAGGTTGCTCGGTAATACTGTCTCGAACATTTTGGACTTTTTTTTGACTCGCTATACTCTTTCAGGCAGTTTCCACGGAACAATTAGGTCAACTTCATACACAATACCCATTTCCTTTTATTCTCTTCTCTGTTCTTTGTTAAACTTCATACATTTCCCACCGGTTCCTTTATCATTCACTCGTGTTCATTCTCTAATCTCTTTAATTCCATATTTATTTAACAATAACCTACCGGGCGGGCTGCATTCCCGATTTCTTCTTCCCGTAATTATTAAAAAAATCAGAAATATCTCTCTGAGAAATGATTAAATTTATTTAGCAATACACGAACTGAATCGTAAATGAATTAAAGTCTCCATACATGCACCCTTGAAGTTGCCACAGAGAAATTTCAAGAAACCAATTGAACTACTCAGTATTTAATGTTAAACAATTACGATTTCTTGAACCTCCAAATTTCAAACCAATCAATACACGTGAACATTATCCAATAATAATCATACAATGAAAACTAAAAATTCTTTTCTAATCTGGTTTATTGTCATCTCCCAAACGCAATGTTTGCTACGAGTCAATCCAGCTCATTCTCTCAACTAATTA